GCACACACACACACACACACACACACACACACACACACACACACACACACACACACACACACACACACACACGATCAGCCATGCTATGAACAGCGCCTGCAAGTGCTGACATGTTTTGGCATCAGCTCAGTGCTCAAACATGTGATGAATAGATCATTGACACACACAGACACACACACACACACACACACACACACACACACACACTCACACACACACACACACACACGTTAACCTGCCTGGTTAATCTTCACCTTTAAGCACACAGCTGAAGATGTTCTCATGGGAACCCAACAGACACACACGCAGCGAGCCTTCATCAACATACCGAGTGATCATGATGTCACTCACTGATCACACACACACACACACACACACACATTTGTAAAGGTGTGTGTGTGATCAGGCAGCTCTTGTAAAGTCGCCTCTCATCAACATGTGCTCAAATGAGCAGACAGTATTCCCCTGACCCGGGATCAGCTCTTCTGCTCAGCCAAGCCCTTATGGGAGACTGGAGGCTGATCCCAAATCTGTACAGCGGTAAATCTCACGAAAACAAGTCATTCTGTGCTGAATGGAGGCAGTGGCGTGGAGATAAACCTGAAGCACAGCAGATCTCAGATCAGCGCCTGAGGATGGAGCTGTCAGCACCCATCAGCATCATCTGTCACCGCACAGACAGACAGACAGACAGACACACACACACACACACACACACACACATACAGACACATACAGACACACACATACAGACAGACACACACACACACACAGACAAACAGACACACACACACAGACACACACACATACAGACAGACACACACACACACACACACACACAGACACACACACACAGACACACACACATACAGACAGACACACACACACACACACACACAGCAGAATCTGGAACATGCAGCTGCTGTGAGTCTGTACTCAGTCCATCAGTGTAATGCTGAGCAGGTCTCTGAGTGTTTTACTCTACAGTTTACAGTAATGTACGCGTGATGTGAACGTGTCGCTGTGTGATGATGATGATGATGGTGTGTGTGTGTGTTTGTGTTTGAGTGTGTGTGTGTGTGTGTGTGTGTGTGTGTGTGTTTGAGTGTGAGACTCACTCAGGGATTCTCCGTTCTCCTCCGCCTTGACTCCAGGTCGGTTCTCCTGCAGATTCTGTGTGCTGGACGACGAGCAGCCCATTCTGATACACACACACACACACACGCACACACGCTCGCAGCAGCGCGTCTCTGAGGTTTGGGAACTTCTGCCCAGTGTTCTTCAGTTGCGAGGCTGGTTTGCGCATGCGCTGTTCTCACACACACGCTGGAATGAAATGCGCTGCTGCTCCAACGCGCGGAGAGGCTGACAACACGCGCATGCGCAGATCGATGGCCAAACCATCGGCTAGACTCAAGGGGTGTTCATGAGGGCCCAGGGGTCAGGGTTAGG